GAGCTGTGGAGGTACTTCTTCTCCGTCTCCCTACACAAGAAAAGGGAGAGAAGTGGGGACCTGTCGGTGCCGATGGGATGCGCAGGTATCGACCTCCGGGGCCACCGGTCCACCGAGTACATGACCTATCAGCTGTCGAGGTCCAATAAGGGATGGCACGCGCTTTGGTTCTACGTGAAGAACGCCGTCGCCGCCCCTTTGCTGGACTTCACCGGACGCCTCATCGAAGAGGCGCCACAGGTGTGTTGTCGTGGGGACCTCCCGAGAAGGAAAAGAAGAGGATGTGCGATATCCTTGACGCCATCACGTTCCTAAGGAGCCACGTCCTTCGTGGGGCCAATGTCATCGGGGCGTATCACGCGAGGAGGGTGGCGCCGCTGATGGCGTGCGCCCTCCCACTGTACGGGATGATGCCTGGCGCGTAGCTCGACAGGACGGTGCTCGCCCAGGGATCGCTCTGTAACAGCTAGGTCACACAGCGCATCAAGGATGCGACGGAGGAGTCCGGCGCCGTGTTCTCGATCCCGGGACATCCTGCGATGCAGTCGGACGCGATCTTCGTCGAGTTACCGGCGGGGTTGGGTTTTTGGGCCTCCGTCGCGCCGCAGCCAAAGCACGCAGCCATGAGGGTGGCGAACCGCACCATAGATGAGAAGAGGAGGAAGAAGAAGGACGACAAGAAGGCGAAGCGGCGGGTGAAGGAGCGGGCAAACCTGAACCGAGGAAGGCAGCGGCAAGGCTCAAAGGAGAAGGAAGAAGAAAAAGAAGAAGGAGACAGCTCCGGGTCGCCCGTCCAATGGGACGAGCTGGGAGGAGGGGACAAGGACCCGTCTCTGCCGCAGGCGGGGCCTTTCTCGTGGCATGTGATCAAGCATGTGACGTTTTTACCATGCATAGTGTCTGCTATCAAAAAAATGTGTGTCACACCCAACATCTAGCCCCAAGTTCGCTATCCTCTCGGGTCGGTGAAGACCACAAATGAGAGATCAAGCGCTGATACCACTTGTAGGGTCGAGATGACGGACTAGAGGGGGATGAATAGTCATTTCAAAAAATTAATCGTGTCGGCTAACCGAGACAAATGCGGAATTAAAACTATCGGTCTAACCAAGACTACATCCCTATATCTAAGTTTCAAGCACCTTACAAAAATCATAAATAGACAACAAAGGTGACGGGCTAGCTAGAGCTCACATAATAAATCTAGCTTATAAGGTCACACAAACCTATACAACTAGCACTTCAAGCAACCGGAGGAACTTCTACATAATCTTATAAGCAAAAGTACAAAGCTCCTAAGCTCACTAGCCATGCTCAATAACAAAACTACATAAGCCAAATTAGAGAACGCAAATCACTTACCTACACAAACTAAGCAATATGACTATTCCTAAAACCAAATTAACCCCGTAAAAGTTACTTCTATAATTCACGAGCAACAAAGTAACCGGCATGCCATGGGCATGGCTGGTCGTATCGTATGCATGCGCCGTCTGAGCATGCGGGTCGGCAGCAGCGCGTCCAGGGCAGGCCGTGCCCGTGCCTGTGCGCACACGGCTAGGGAGGGGGTTGCGTAGGTGAATGTGTAAGGTCAGCTAACCTACCAGGCCATCTGCCTGCCATCGTGGCCAGCCAGTCCCGGCCTGGTATCCAGTGTCCACTATCCACCTACACCACCGGCACCGGGCATCGGGAGGTGGAACTTGGGGGGAGGGAGAGGCCGTCACGCTCGGCTTCGGGGTGGCAAGTTGCAAGGTGCAAAGCTAGTGCCGCCGCTGCACTGCACTTGCACATACGTGGCCGGTGTTGGTGACCATCATCCACTCACCTTGCCCAGGTCCCAACTCCCAAGCGGCTAACCACTTGCGTATCTGCTATCTCCCTCTCTCTGGGTTTGATGCTCCCATCTGCCACCTCCAAACGGCCTCATGCAATGCAAGTAGCAAGTTCCTTCTATCAGAATCCAGATATGCATGCTCTGTAGTGCGCGAGCACGACTCAGACTGAAAAGGGATGCACGTTGCAACGGGGGAGGGAGGTCACCTGAATCTAAGATTTTCTTTAGAGCCCAGGCCAGCCGAGGCCCATGACGAGCCCCAGGCTTTTTCCTCTTCTCCCTTGTCACGACAACAGCTGGGACTGGGAGCTTTCTAACGTTTAGTTCATCTTCCTAAAGTCCTAAAGTTTACTCCTGGTTCTATTAAATATTTAGACATACTATATTAAATATAGATTAAAAAATAATTAATTATACAGTTTACGACTAATTTGTGAGACAAATCTTTTAAACCTAATTAGTCTATGATTTGACAACGTGGTGCTACAATAGCACATGTGCTAATGATAAATTAATTAGGCTTAATAAATTCGTTTTACGGATTATTTACGGATTCTATAATTTATTTTATTATTAGTATCCAAACACCCCATTCGACATCTGATGTGACGCTCTAAAATTTTACATCCTAAATTTAAACAAGGCCTCGACACAACAGTCACCCTTCCTCAGTTCCTCTGGAACTTTTCTCCTCCATGAAAATTCTCTCCTTGAAGAAAAGGCTGCTCTAGTTATTTCGCACATCAAATACGAACATTTAGGCCTGATTTAGTTCATTCCTCTAAAGTTTATTTCCTATCCATCGAATGTTTGAACACATGTATGGAATATTAAATATAGACTAAAAAATAACTAATTGCATAATTTACGACTAATTTGCGAAACAAATCTTTTAAACCTAATTAGTCCATGATTTGATAATATGGTGCTACAGTACACATGTGCTAATGACGAATTAATTAAGCTTAATAAATTCGTCTCGTGGATTACTGACAAATTCTATAACTTATTTTTTTTATTAGTAGACTACAGCAGACGACAGTCCACGTGACACCCCAAATTTTACGACCTATATTAAACAAGGCCACCACTCGCAAGTTGTACTAGGCGGCAAAAGGGTTCCAGAAACAGGTGCAGAGCAGATCCAGTGAAAAAGGTTTCGCCTCGCCAAAAGTTCACCCGCCTCTGCCTGCCTGACAGACAGTATAAACAGATTCGGCACAGAGCGCAGCGGATTCTTCTCTGCCAAATGGCAGTAAGGCAGATGTAACGACACAGGATGAAAAGCAGATCCTAAACCTTCCGAATCAGAACCACCGTGCCATAGTCACAACAAATCAACATAGTATACAAATCAACATAGTTATACTGTCTCCATCAACCGCGACCCAAAATACGGAAGATCCATTTGTTCTCTGAGCAGCGTTACAGACAAATATTTTAATAACTATTTTTAGTCTTCTCCAACAAAGACTCAAAAAACAACCGTTTCAGCAAAAAGATCTTCGGAAGAGAGAATACTCAATTTATGTTATGTCTCTTCCTGGCATCTAAAATAGGTCTTCCATATAAGTGCTCTGTTGAAAACTATAGGTATTGTATTGTAAACCTAGTTTGGGTTTGGATTTCGTAATGGGTCTCCTGTTGGAGATAGCCTTACACTATTAGTTTTCCATAGCTAAAGTCACAGCAAAATTATAATCTACTAAATTTCCATAGTCAAAACAAAACAATCTCCTGAATTTCCATAGCTAAAGTCCACCGGCGCTTTCAGTATTAGTTTTTTTTCCGACCCAGCTGACTAGTATATAGACATATAGTACTATAGTATACTAGTATTCAACACAGCAAGAATTTTCCTCCCGTTGGTTTGATCAAACGCTTCCCTTTCAACCAAGAACAGTCAAGGGTGCAACCCAACGCTCCCCTTTCAATCAACCAAGAACAATCAAGAAGAGTGCAACGGTATCAGAATTAAGAATCAAAAGCCAGATCTTCCATCAACCTTACACAGCATCAGGAAATCAAGCATGATATATCAGCATTGTACAGTTCAAATTGGCATCTAGCTTGGAGATGAAAGTGAGGTAATCAAACAAACAGATAGCTCTAAAAAAAACCCCAGATAGCATGGTCTTTTTACACTTGCACTGAAGGAGGGGTAATCATGCACAAGGAGGAAGAGCTGCACATCACCTTACACATCAGAACGAGACATCCTGGAAGATATAATAACCATTGCGACGAGCAGGCAATTAATTAAGCAAAACACCTCTAGTCATCTACATAGGCTGTTCGCTTGTTGGTTTCAGCCAGGGCTTATCAGCCATGGTACGGTATTTTCTCTCACAGCAAACTAGCATCAGCCGAGCTTATCAGCCCAGAAACCAACGAGCGAACCTGATTGGCTGTCCAAAGAAGAGGCTTCAAGAACTTGTTTCAGGGTCACAACACAAGTCTTCAAGAATTGGCTTCAAGGTCACAGGATATGATCAATGGGATCAGTCGCTGGCTTATGACATGATCAATGGGTTAAGCCAATGCTTACAAGAAATAGCAAAACCAATAGAATCAGCCGGCTCGAGGGAAGAAGCACTGCAAAAATATAATCCAAGCATTGCCTTAGAATATTCAGATAATTTTAACAAATCCAAGTATTAGAATAGAACTTTCAGATGACACTACCAATTACACTTGCAAATTGCAACCTTGTAACTTGCAATGCATGTATTTGATACTATGATTTGCACATCAGTAGATGAATTAGTATACGCTAATCATGTCAGCTCAATCGAGCTCTGACATGGTAAAGCAGCAGAAAATGAAATGTATAAATAATTTCTCTTGATTTCTTCCATTATCTTTCCAACAAATGAAAGGGCAGCAGCAGTAATATCACTCGAAACACCAGAGAAAGATAAGGAAAAGCTCAGATTTCCTTCCTCACAGCTTACATGGACATAACTGAATTATTCACATAATGTTGAATCATCATCATCATCATCGTGGTGGTGGTAAGAAAAGAAAGAGAGAGAGAGAAGGAAAAAAGAAGGGAAAAAAGGCAAGAATTATCCATCTAGCGAGAGAACACCACCGGATCAGCAGCCGAAGAAGGACAAGCGGTGTCGATCCTTCTCTGATTCGTCGTGTCCGTTCTCGTGAGCTAGAGGCGGAGTAGCGTGTCGTAGCGGGCACCCATCTGATCGGCCTCAGCGGCAGCGTCAAGAGGCGCCGGCAGGTTCAGATCGAACGGCAGGGGCGCGCGGGACGCGGCCGCGTCGTCGCCGCAGGCGTCTTCGCAGAGGACGGACGACGAGGATCCGCAGTAGCTGTGGCAGTCCTCGTCGTCGTCCTCCTCAATGGGCGCGGCGGCGCTCCGCGGCAGGGCGGCGGCGCGGGGTGCGCCGCCGCTCCACGACTCGACGGTGCTGCTGTGGCTGGACGTGGCCGCCGCCGCGGGGGCTGCGGCGGCGGCGGATGCGGAGGGGGCCCTGTGCCGCGGCGCGGAGGCCGCGGCGCTGGGGAAGTTGGTGCGCGCGGTGGGCCCGCGGAGGGATCGGGCGGCGGCGTCGTAGGCGCGCGCGGCGGCCTCGGCGGAGTCGAAGGTGCCGAGCCAGATCGGGGTCTTCTTGGCCGGGTCCCGGATCTCGGCGGCGTAGCGCCCCGACGGCCGCCTCCGCACGCCGCGGTACCGGATCTCCGGCGACGGCGAGGGCTGCGGCTGCAGCGGCTTCGCCCGGCGCATCGCGGACCTGAGGGAAGTGGGGGCGGGCGGGCGGGCGGCGGAGAGCGCACGCGGGGCGTGGCGGGGGCTCGGCAGGCTAGGGTTTGGCCTCTAGCTTATTTTCCTCCCCTGCTCTGGGGCTGGGCGGCTGGGCTCCTCCCCCACCCTGGTTTCTCCTTGGTTTTTTGGTCTTTTTTGCGCTTCGGTTTCCTCCTCCGGCCCCGTCTGCCGTGCAGCCGTGCTCCTGTAGCTGTAGCGGGCTAGCGGCTGTGCCCCGTGCTCGCTTGGCCGGGTGGGTGGGTCGCTCCGGTTTCTCTGGCTGGAGACGCTGCCCCACCGCGCGCCCCCGCCACACACTGGTTGGCGCGCTAGCCGCTAGCGTTCCCCGGCGGGTCGGGGTCGGCGTCGTCGTGTCGGCCTGCGCCTACCCGTCCGTGGCCTTTTCTACTCGGGGCATATGCCTACGCCAGCTGAAGTCGGCCCGGCATACTGGGCTCCGCATAAAAGCTGGCCGATACGACTTGCCTCCGATTAACCAATACTATTACTCCATTCGTATTGCGTTCAAAAAAAATCACTCCAAAACAAATAAAATACTACACATTTACATCACCCTTCGTACGTACTTAAAACAATATATACACATTTACATATGCTCAGAGTCAAAGTATTTTAAACTAAATTTATAGAAAATAGTATTAATGATTGTGGTTCTAAATAAATACAGCCACCATTCCAGAAAATAAAGTATTCAGACAAGTTTAGGACAAAATAAGAAGTCTATTAGAACACTAACCTGACTCTCACTAATTAGTTAGTTTGGCTAGCAATTTGCTTAATTTTCTAGTAAGGTATAGTTAGAAAGGCATACATACGTGTCATTGACTTCGACAGCCAGCTGTACCGATCAGATAGTCAAGGGATCGCCGGGTGTGTTATTGGAGTGCGAGAACGAGGATCATGTCTTTGTCATGGCCACTTCTCTTGGGTCTTGCACCACCGATGAAAACATCACCTGTGTCTTTAGTTGCAGTTGAGCGGTTTCTTTTTAAATAGCTTGCTCTGTATGCTGGGAATACTATATTTAAAGAAATCTTACAGCGCTGCTACAAAAGGCATAATGCAAACTGGACAAAACGATAATGTTGTGGTTGTCTATACAAATTTAAATATAACTACACATTTCCTGTCTTGTTGTGAAAAGAGAAACTCAGTCAATCAATTATTGTTACTAAGTATTTTCTGTTCTATACAGAGGTACATATAAGGGGAACAGAGACAAGGGATAAACACCCATACACATTATTTACAAAAGTTAAATAGCGGTGGTGCCGAGTTCAAATAGTTAAAAAAGGATGGAAATTAAGGACACCAAAATACCAGCTACCATATAGACTAACATGAAGTTTAGAATAAGGCGAGGTTGCCTTGGTGGCCTCTTCTTCATGCACTCCACCTGGGAGGGATGGCTTGATTAAAGACAGCCTCGCTGACAGCGCCTCCTCAAATGGAACAGTCCCAGTTATGGCTCTAAGAATATTGAACCACGGTTAGGCCCTGTTTAGTTTTTTTTTTTGTCTTCTACAGTAAAAGAGCATATTTGGATATATGCATGGAGTACTAAATGTAGACGAAAAAAAACTAATTGCGCAGTTCTCGGCAAAATCACGAGACGAATCTTTTAAGCCTAATTAGTCCATGAAAAGCCTTAAGTGCTACAGTAACCTGCATGTGCTAATGCCCGATTAATTAGTATCATTAGATTCGTCTCGCAGTTTTCTGATGGGTTCTGTAATTTATTTTTTTATTAGTATCAAAAACCCCTCCCGACATCCTTCCGACACATCCGATGTGACACCAAAAAAATTTCACCTCCCCAACTAACGCCCTGTTTAGTTCCCAAAAATTTTCACCCCAAAGTGTCACATCGAATCTTGCGGCACATGCATGGAGTATTAAATATAGATAAAAAAAACTAATTGCATAGTTTGGTTGAAAATCGCGAGACGAATGTTTTAAGCCTGATTAGGCCATAATTAGCCATAAGTGCTACAGTACCAACATACGCTAATGATGGATTAATTAGACTTAATAAATTCGTCTCGCAATTTCCAGCCGAACTGTGTAATTAGTTTTTTTATTAGTATCAAAAACCCCTTCCAACATTCCCCAAAACATCTAATGTGATATCTAAAAATTTTCATTTCGTGAACTAAACACACCCTTAGTTTTCGTGAACTAAACACACCCTTAGTTCTTCCCGCAAAATCCATAGTCTAGATGAATCAATCTACACAATGGAGCATTTAATTTGCAGTCCATTCAGCAACAGCTTTCCCTGCCCCCACAGAAATCAGCAAGCTCGTCAATACCCTCATCCAGTGTGACGGTGCTATCGACATCAAAACATACTGGATCAGCATGTGCAATGTCTCAATCGGCCTGTTCGCTGGTTGGTTTCTGGGTTGATAATCTCGACTAGTGCTGATTTGTTGTGAAAGAAAAATACTATTGACTAGCTAATAAGCCCTAACTAAAACCAATAAACGAACAGGCTGAATAAGGCCGGTAAACATGCAGGCAAGCAATGTGCAAGTTACTCTCAACTTACAGTGCTGAGACGGACATCGATCAGCCGCATGGTAGACTATCCTAAACAGACTGGAAGGCTTCCAATAAGAAAACTAAAGAACCTTTGGAAGGGTGGCTATTTGCCAGGACTGCCGAGGACCCATCCTTGGATACAACCGGTACTGCTACTAGTAAATCACGGACATGTTTGTTTGTCTTATAATCTATATTTTTCAATTTATTTTTTTAGCTGGAACAGTGTTTTTTCTTACAATATTTTTTCAGCAAAGCGAATGGGGCATGAAACCAAGCTGTCATGTCTGAGCGAACGGTGACCGAGTAACTGACGACGAACTCCTTTGGACCGGCACACAACCTGATCAGGCCGGCCATAACATATGCATAAAGATGGCAACGGGCTCGATACCCGACGGGTATTTGATCTATTAGGGGACGGGGATGGGATCATATCTTTATCTACAGATATCTAAATGGACAAGAATCTATCCCCGACGGGTATAGCGGGTACGGAAACGTTTCCTGTTTACCTGTCTCCGTTACCCGTTGGGGAACCCGACTATTTGAGCTGTCATGCGAGTATTAGGCCCAAAGAAGCTCAACATAGGTATTTTGATCCAAATATGAACAATCATATATATAGTTTGTATGTTCTAGGAACTCTAGTTCAATTTTTTCTCACCATCTCCGTCAGCAGCACAAGCACGCCTGCCTCACGAGCGCTCGTGCCCCTCGCTTCCTCAGTTCGATCTCTATGCCACCTTTGCTCGTCCTCCTCGCAACCTCGCTCCTTCTCCTAGGCATCTCCGAGACTCCGACACTTATACCCGGGTGAAGAAGAAACGTCTCCGATTGCAAAGCTGCGACCCCAAGTGTCCTTGTTTATTGGGTATGCAGTACCCGTCGGGTATCTGTTACCCCACCGATGCCCGACGGGTACGGGAATGGACAAGAATCTATACCCGAGACAGTTAACGGGGACGGGAACGGGATGAATTCTCCGTAGCAGGGAAGAGAACGTTCCGGCGATACCCAGGTATATCCCCGCTGCCATCCTTACATATGCACCTGCAAATCACACAAGGGAACACGGTATTCTGGGTTGAACAAGTGTACACATATAATCAAATGATGTACTCATGTACTAAAGTATTAAACCCAATTAAAGAGTTTCTCATCAAATTATGGTTTCCTTTTTAACAAACCTTACCAAATTTGAGCATGGACACCGTGTAAAATGTCATATTTATAATTGCTATGAAACTATATTTTATGACGAATTTCATGATATTTATCTAGTATTATAAATACTGATATGTTTATACAAACTTAATTATATTTAATTTAATATTATTTAATTTAGAATAAAACCAGAATGACAATACTTGCTCATTGTAGGTCACAAAGTTTTTTTTTTTGAGCAAAAAAAGGTCACAAACGTAGTATGAACGGCAATCGCCATTCCTCTCGCGCGTGCTCCCGCCCCCTCCGCTGTCCGCTCCCAGCCTCCCACCGGGCACCGGGCACCGCCTCACCCCGCCGGCCGCCATGAGCTCCACCTCCTCGGGCCGCCGCGTCTCCTCATCTTCGGCGGCGGTTGCCTCGTCGCCAGGCCAGAAGCGGGCGAGGGACGAGGCCAGCAGCGGGTCCCATCCGACCCCGACCCCGCCAAAAACCCTCGCCGCGCTTTCGCCTCCTCCCCGTTCGCAGACTTCGGCACCTACATGGCCGCGAAGAACAGCAAGCTCGCCGCGCAGTTCGACGCCGACGCCTCCACCTCCGGCGCGGCCGCCGGGGGTCTATTCGCTGGCGTCTCCATCTTCGTCGACGGCTTCACGGTCCCTTCTAGCCAGGTGACTGCCGCGCGCCACCAGCTCATGCTCATCTCAAGGGTTCTCATACACCGCAATATAATACTGTAGATGCAACGGTATGGATCATGTCGATTTGACTTTTTTTTTTCCGTGGGTTTGTTTTGTGCTTGGGGTTCGGTAGGAGCTGAAAGAGATTATGCTGAACAATGGAGGCCGGTTTGTCAACTACTTCTCCAGGCACACGGTGACACACGTTGTTTGCAGCAACCTGCCTGATAGCAAAATGAAGAATCTGAGGTACGTAACGGAAGAGGGCCTCTGGGTCGCCATTATTAGGCTTTCTGGTTCGATTATGGTGATCATGCTGCTGTTTGATCCAGAGCATTCAGCAAGGAACTTCCTGTTGTGAAGCCAGCATGGGTGGTGGATTCCCTGGCAGAGAACCGGCTCCTCAACTGTATTTTCTCTTGTTCTTGCTCACTTTTTGTAGACAGTGTACTAAATGATCTGCTTCCTTCTTGCAACTTCTGTTTCACTAGTGTTATAGCTAGATTGAACATGTTGCTGGTAATACACTGGTTGGTAACAAGGTTGATTGAGCTGACATCGTATGATTATATTATATACACACTGATTGTAAACTTCTCCAAAAACTGAGGTAGAGGTTTTATTCTAGCCATGAGCATAGCATTCTTAATACTTTGTTTCTTAGATTAAGATAGATCGCACCACACTTCTATCCATCCTTTTATAACTATGCTTTATTATGAAGGCCTACTTGTAAACTTCTATGTGAAATCATTATCCTACACTATTTTGCTTAGTTTTGTGAACATATGTCCTCATTTATGATAGGAATATCAAGATTAGTCTCTTAAAGTAAGTGCACACAGCACATAGCTTGTATGCACTCATGGCTTCATATATTCTTATGTGTTTGTTTTTGTTATTTTAACTAAGGTGCTCCTTATCAAATAAATCAGAATAGTTCTTCAAGCCGAAAGCAGATGAAGCTTTCTGCTTTCTTTTCTGAGAAACAAAATGAAATGCGTCACAAGGAAGGACAAAACAACCAAAGTAAGGATATTGAGTTCCAATCTTCGTCTGCTCAGGAGGGATCACAGTATCAAAGTGGGGATTGTGAAAGTGAAGCTTCAATGGATAATTTGGAGTTATCAAAGGACTCGTTATCCTCGGATGAACAGAAGGCATCAGCATTTGAAGAAAGAGAGAGCGGAGATTTCACAGTTGATGAGGGTGAATATGATTGTGAAACTGCCTGTTCAGAGAGCCATAATGACACAGATGATAACCTTTGTGTGCCTCAATCCCCTGATGCAAAGTCAAGGTGTTCAAATTTATGCAGTACAAGCTCTACAGGCAGTCATTTGTCCTTGCCATTGGAGAAAAGTGCAGCTAAACCTTCTGGCCGACCACATTCAACCCTAACAGATCAAAATTTTGTTGAGAACTATTTCAAGGTAACAGGAACAAATGACAATATCTGATTTGTCAGTCACATTTGATGCTCTATTGTCAATAAATTTGCCATTTTATGTTTTGAAAGCTTCTGTTACTAAGCTTTGCTGCTTCTACTCCATGATGACATCACATATATCTTCCTGTAAACTGAATCAAATATTTTTGGTCATACTGGTAGTTTTATTTGATGTTCTTGTTTGGTGTTGTAGTACTCTTGACTGCACTTCATTGGGACATGGAGAAATCGGTATCGAAAGCGCTTCTCAAATTTGTTAGAAGCTAAAGGCATTAAGTCGAGTGCTGATCATTCAGGGAAGAAGAAAACAATCATTCATATTGATATGGTAATCTTGTAGTGCTATGGTGAGCTATAGATATATAGAATTGCATCTTGAACGTTGAATTCTTATCAAAGAAATCTTTTATTTTGTAGTTATGAGTATGATATGTAGTTTCTTCTATGCTCTTGGGCATATTACTTTTGCCGTCACATCATGTTTAGTCGCAGAAAGCTAAACAGCCATAAAAAATAGGAAGTCAGGTAGTTTGCAGTATGGATTTCAAATAGAGTATTGAATCCGGTAATTATGATGGATTGATAATGTAGTTGTAAAGAGCAAATGGCCTTCTGAGGAATATGGCTGTGTACAAAATGCTAACCAAATGCTGAATTGTGAATGCAAGTACCTACTGTTGATCCATTCAACAATGAACTAAGATATGTGTTGCCAGATTCTATCTGAAAAAGAGAGGCAAGCAGGTGTGCATGAAATGAGGTTTATGCTTGAAAGGTTCAGTCCAAATTGTAGTTTCAAATATTGAGTTACTAGTTGAATTTGTCACTAATTGGAAGCCACTTTTTTTTATCTTTCCTTCTGTCATACTCTGCAATTCCAAGATGTAGTTTGGTAATGCTTGTCTTCAGGAATATGCTTGAGTTGCGTTGCTTGTGTTATACTTAATTATCTTGATTGTTGACATAATGTTTCCACCAGGATTGCTTTTTTGTGTCTGTCGTCATCAGAAATATTCCAGACCTGCATGATAAACCAGTAGCAGTTTGCCATTCGGACAATCCTAAAGGAACAGCAGAAATATCGTCTGCAAACTATCCGGCTCGAAATTATGGTGCCGATATTTTATTTTCCATTAATTGAGACTTATAATTTTGTTATGTGAACACATTTGAACATAGGTTGCATCCTCATTGATGCATTCCAGGGATAAAGGTTGGCATGTTTGTTAGAGATGCTAAAGCTCGGTGCCCTCACCTAATGATCGTTCCTTATAACTTTGATGCATATGAGGAGGTATATTTTTTAAGAATTTAAGATAGTCCATTTGATGGATAACTCCTCTTTTACTTTTGTTGAATTTGAGAACCTGAGTGACTGGAATTCTTGTAGGTTGCTGATCAGTTCTATGGTATTTTGCACAAACATTGCAGTAAGGTTCAGGTACACTCCAGGATTATACATGCTAGACAGCATATCTTCATTGGCGATACATCCCCATAGTTTGATTATTAGAGATCTCCACCTACAGTGCTGACAATGTTATCCACAATTCAGGCTTTGAGTTGTGATGAAGCTTTTTTGGATATGACTGAATGCTTACATGACAATCCTGAGGAAGTAACACAGAAAATAAGAAGTGAGATTTTTCATGCAACAAAGTGTACTGCTAGTGCAGGTATTGCAGAAAACATGCTCCTAGCTCGGTTAGCTACCAGATCTGCAAAGCCGAATGGACAATGTTTTATTCCCTCTGAAAAGGTATATGTATGCTGTTGCTAATGGACATGTTCCTAACTGCATGTCTGTGCCCACTGTTATCTCTATACATTTATACAAACCGCTTTGAACGAGGACCGGAATATTCATTTCATGTTAGGATTTCCATAGGATTTTTTCGAGGAAAATATTCAGCTCAAACCACATTACCTTGAAAACACATACCTATAAGCTCCTTTTTTTTTGAAATGATGCACATCCATAGTGCATCTATAGATGTACATTGTCGTCAAAGTCGAGATTCAAAGTTTCAAACTCAATCTACAAAAATTCACAAGAATATAACAAAATTCATGTGCATGTGCACTAGAAGACAAAATTGTCTTACGGTACATATGCACCTGAAATTTATTATTGTCATATGATTTTTTTTAGAAAATGATTTTAGATTTCAACTTTTGTGACAATGTACATCTATAGATGTGCTATGGATGTGCACCATTTCAAAAAATTTTGGAAATTTCTAGGTATGTGTTTCAAGGGGTTTTCATGATTGCACCAGAGGGGTGATTTGCACTTTGCACCAAATATTTGGCCTCTTTTTCATTCCTTTGATCTGAACAGGGCATCACAGCTATTGAATGCGTTGCTAGAACAGTTAAACAAGCTTAGGACACACTGAATCTTATGGTATCATTGTCCTGTTAACTCCTAATATAGGCAACAAGGATATATGTAAGATCTTATCTGGAATATTTTCCTAGATATATTAAATCTGCTTAACTACCCTAGAGCCTAGAAGGTCTTGAATGTATTCAGCTGACTAGCTGAGTCTTACTTAAGGCCCCATCTGAAAAAAGGGAACTGACGCAGGAATTGTGAAGAGAATACACTGCCTGCAACATTCTCCTGTTCCGAACAGACCTGAAAAATAAGCTGGGATGTTTGGATATCATGTCTATATTGTTCAAATATCTCTATGAAAATATTGACTGTTGAATTACTTATTTTATTTCTGGGAGTTGGTTATTAGCTTGTTGGGTATTGAATTCAGTTACTAATTTTGTTTGTCTTTTCTTAAAGTCCTATCTGATTAAAGAAAATCACTAGTGGTGCCACTCCCTCTAAAAGGATGTACTTTGTACTGTAGCTTATCTTACTTAATAAGTTGATATCATAATCTTCATAAGGAGTTAGGGACATGTGATTTACTGACTGCAACATGTATCTCTTACAGGCTGATGATTATCTGAGTAGTCTCTCTATCAAAGCACTTCCTGGCATTGGTCATACGGTTTCATCAAAACTGAAAAGCAAAGAAATTGAATATTGTGGCCAACTTCGCAATGTTCCAAAGGTTCGTCGGCGCTATTTGTGTAGTGTAACATAAAGCAGTCCCCTTTCCTCATGGAAAGAGTTTTTTCCAGTCCTTTATTACTGTGGTCCAGTCTCGACTTTAAACGCCCTTTACTAATGCAGAATAAAATTCTGTTTACAAGTCATAAGCACATCGTCTAGGTCATCTACTGTGTGAGGGTCACATAATGCCAACCACATTCTTTAGGATTATATATAATTTCTTGTCTAGATGAGTATTGATGTTATCTCAACTGCCTCCCTCCAAATATGGTTATTACAACCCCGCAAAAAAAAGGTTATTACATGCCAGTGCTTCTTTTGTAGGATGCCCTCCACAAGGACTTCGGAAAAAAGACTGGTGATCTTTTATGGAATTATTGTAGAGGAATTGATCATTCAGTTGTTGGATCTGTTCAGGTAGAAAAAAGAGCATCTCAGCCATTGCTTCAGTTGTGAGTGCCTGTGCCTATTTTGTTTTACTGAAAACTGTGCTCAACTGGTGTATGGGATGTAAATACCTGGAGCAGCCAGCTCTGCTGATCTGCTCATGCTCCCAAGAACACCTAAGAAATAGATTCAGAAATAACAATTTGAACCGTCCAGTTTTAATCAAAGCATTTGGGTTGCCTTGACGGATACACATACAAAGTGCTGCCAGGTGGGAAAGTTTTGGTAATTGCCAAGGAAAAAGTGCGGGAATGAGGATTTGAACACCTGGCTTCTCTGTTAGGTAGGAGGATAGCACCAGGACCAATCGTTCAGCATAGTTGGTTGTGCACATATGTAGACTACATCCTGTATGCACTATGCAGGATGAAGGTACTAAAAGTCTAAAATAGAGTGATAATGGTATAGAGGAACACCTGCGGTTCGTTGGGAACTGCAGGTTGGGCCAGTGAGTCTATTTGCTCTTTTGTCAATGTATAATAATGGGAGCTTGTAGTTCCATGTTAGTTTTGTGTTCAGGTTGCAGAATTAAGCATGTCATCCTTTGTGTTTTGTTGGCTCATTAGTTGAGCATATCTTGATAGAATTATATTCTCCTTTTCCCCTTATGATTGGTATTAAATTTTAAATTGATGGAGAGTATGCTTCTGGGTACGTGGGACTCCAGCATCAGTGTGAAGGGTATTTGTTTGTTGTTATAATATTTTGTTTTTTTGTTCTAACATCTCACCCAACCCTTTGGAAGGAAATATGGTGATAATAAGTTTAGTGATATTAATTAGTTGCTCTACTAAAATATTGTCCTCTGCACACAATGCAGGAAACAAAATCTGTGGGTGCTGAAATCAACTGGGGAGTCAGATTTAATGACAACAAAGATGTGGGTCCTTTCTGTTTATCTGCTCTATATCATTGCAGCACTATGCCCTTTCATGTTTGATTTGATCACTTTTATGTTTGTTGCAGGCTGAGCATTTTCTTACCAACCTCTGCAAGGAGGTTTCTCTACGCTTGCAGGGGTGTGGAGTTCAGGGACGTACTATTACCCTTAAGGTTGTTTCTATTGAGTATACACACTTTTCTTTCACTCATCTGTACAATAAATAGTTAAGGTATCAAATGAATGTTTGCCTTGAAGGTGAAAACAAGAAGGGAAGGTGCTGGGGAACCAATAAAGTATATGGGATGTGGTGATTGTGAAACCACGAGTCGTTCTATGACGGTATGGGGTTCACTGGTGCAGATGAATACATATTCTTAATTTTTTTAGGGGAACACAGTAGTAACATATCCTTAGTGTTTTAGTAGTTTTGTGTATCAAGTTATTATTGTATGTAATTGTGATGATGCATAGGCTAAGTGTTTATCCTGTATTATGAGTTATGACGTGAAGGGCAGGCCTGGTGCAAGCGGTAGAGTCTTACTGCCTGTGACCGGAAGGTCCCGGGTTCGAGTCGCAGTCTCCTCGCATTGCGCAGGCGAGGGTAAGGCTTGCCACTGACACCCTTCCCCAGACCCCGCACAGAGCGGGAGCTCTCTGCACTGGGTACGCCCTATGAGTTATGACGTGCGCATTCTTATATGCATTATTTGCTTCTAAATTTCCATGATTCAAAAATGTGATATGTTACCAGGTGCACTGTGCATTCTTTTGATTTCTAATCTTTACTACTCTGTACTGTCTCAAAGATTGCAGGTACAACTGACAGTTTTGTCACTCTTAAGAGAATTGCAAAACAATTATTTTCAGCTCTTCGTCTTGGTAAATTTAATATATTTTTTCCATATCTTATATGCACCTTATGTACTGTAGACCTTTAATGAAAATTCCGTCATTACTGTGTTGATGACTAAATTGTGCAATCTCACATTCCAGATGTGAAGGAAGTTCGTGGAATTGGACTGTCACTGTCAAAGCTTGAGCATGCAGATTTGGGTCGGGGAGGTATCTTTAGCTATTCGGATTCTTTTTATTTCCTTATATTTTTAATCCCCATTTGGTTTGGTGTAAAAATACTTTTCGGATTTCAATAGTGGTCTAGTGGATGTCATAAACAAGCAGCATTGTTTCTATAAAATAATAAAAGATGTGCTTTTGTGCATTTTCATCTGATTATAGGCATCTCAGAGCAAAGTATGTCTTAAAACTTAACAGTAACAACAGCTTAATCTGAAAGCTAAGTCTAAGACTCTAAGGTGCACTACTGTCTATTGTTTGTAGATGATTTTCAGTTATACTGTTAAGACCCATGCTAGCTGAAGGAACTATTACTTTTTAGAGAAAGAGCAGTGTCTTGATTGCTGACAGCAACTTAGCATTTGATTGATGAAACCTAGATATGCATATGCCAGAACCACCACAATATCCCCATCACATGTCAGTATGTCACATGTTACAAAGGAAACATAACGCTTTGTGGCATGTTTCTTTTCTTATAAAGGAAACACTAGTTTAATATTGCCTGAAATAAAATAATATCAAAAGATACATTTGCTGTATATTGATGCAAAAGTCAACAGTTCTTACAATTTACATATTGGCCCTTTGGTTCTCAAGTGCTTCCATGCTAAAATAATATTTAATAAGGAAGTATCTCGACAACAAGCAAGCACTACTCTCCCTAAGTAAGGTAAACTATAGCAGATTAGCAGTAGATATCCCCCTCCCCTTCACACACACACACAAAAAAAAAAAAAAATCTTCATAGCTGCCTCTGCTTCTGTTTCTGGCACTTGACATATTTTGTATGCACTTAGCTCCTTGATCCTAATGGTTCTTATTTTCCAATGAAGCACTGCAAGGAAATATGCTTGAATCATGGCTTGCTTCACCAGCTGCGAAGCTCAAGAAACACCACAGTGAGATGCCGGTGAATGTTGATGTTGCAGGTATTGGGCAACTGCTGCTATCATGTGAAGCTATGTTTCATAGTGTTCACTGTGTTCTGTTCAATGGGAATTGACTGCTTGGAGCTTCTGTAGGGACTAGTGGACTGCAGGATTTGAGAAGATCTGGACCATCACATACAGCAGAAGTGAACCTTAGAAGTGATAGGTCTACTGTAGTTCACAATGTCGAGCTGCCTCCATTATCCCAACTTGATTTGGAGGTCCTGAAGAACCTTCCCCCAGAGATAATGTCTGAAATGAATGAAATGTACAAGGGAGAATTACAAGGTCTTGTGGACACCCTCAATAGTGATAAGGGCAAGGAAAATAGTTCAAAATCTCTTGCTTTGCCAGCAGTTACTCGTAATTCTGTACCTGGTGATGCAAAGCTTCAAGGATACAGAGACCACGAACACTCCATGCATTCAGAGTAGGAACATACTAAGGTGAGCTTTGTCACTGGAAACAAAGTGGTGCTGGAAGTTTTTAAACAAAGTGCAAGCACGCGATTTAGTTACGTTACCTCTTCATCATAATATTTTGAACCTGTTTCACACTATTCTAATTTTACCGTTACCACCATAGGGAAAATTTGACGAACAGCTATCAGAAGCTAAAGCAGCCAATAATGCTTCATGCTCAAGAGCTAGTGCATTAGTTGAGAAAACAACAAAAAGTGTTACACAGCTTGATTTGATGCCTGATTCGCTAAGCCAGGCAGATCTAACAGTTCTGCAGGAATTACCTGAGGATGTAAAGGCTGATTTGTTTAGTGCACTTCCATTACATAGATCAGGAGATCCTGCATACAGCACTTCCAATGTATCTGAAAGTAAATCACCTAATGTTGTTAGAGCTGAAAATAGATCTCCTAATGATGGTGGTGTAAAGAAACACCGCACACCCTAATCAGGGGGGGTGACCTTCATTATATAGCCTAATAGGCTAGGGTTACAATGTATACAAGGCCAATGGGCCATTACGCCCAATATGGGCTGTATGTGTTACAATTATATTCTAACACCCTCCCTCAGTCTAAGCGGGAGTGTCATGAACACAAAGACTGGGCCTAAAATCGATAAACAATCAGACAGTAACCCTTTGGTCATAATGTCCGTGAACCGATGAGAGCGATGGGGCGTGGAGCACCGGACTGTCCCAAGGCCACTTTGTCACCGACGAAGTGAATGTCTATCTCGATGCGTAGCCGTGCGGCGATGATGAACTGGATTGGCGATCATGTGAACAACGGCGATATTGTCACGATGACAACCGTCGCCGAAGAGATGGGCGCATGGAGCTCCCTGAAGCAAAGCGGCGAAGCCAACAAGTCTCAAGCCACGGCGGCGCAATAAAGACGATACTCGACCTCCGCACTCGAGCGAGAAACCGTGGTACATCGTTTGGAGGACCAAGAGACTAGGTTGTCGCCGAGGAAGACCAAGAGCCGAAGTGGGAGCGCCGAGAGTCCGGACACCACCCAATCAAAGATCGGAGTAGGCGGTCAAATTGTCGATGCCGCCAATGCCAATGTGAAGCCCAGTGGGATGAGTGCCTTCACATACCGCAAGAAGACACGCTTGAGCATCGCCAGATGAGGCTCGCGCGGGTCGTGCATGAAGAGACACACGCTGAACGGCGTAGGCGAGGTCCGGACGAGTCAGCGTGAGGTACTGGAGAGCACCAGCGAGGCTGCGGTACTGGGTAGCATCCTCCACCGGAGCGCCGTCCGTAGCAGAGAGCTTGGCGCGAGTGTCCACGTGGGGTCGTGTTGAGAGTGACACTAGGTCATGTGTGGCATTGAGCGAGATCCACAGCGTATTGGCGCTGGGAAAGGAAGAGGCCGCCAGAGGACCGTGTGACTGAGATCCCGAGGAAGTGATGGAGATCCCCGAGATCTGTCATGGCGAACTCGGAGTGAAGGAGCCCGGTGATGCTTGGCGAAAGTAGTGCGCGAAGCGACGGTTGTCGAGGATGATGTCGTCGGACGAGAAGCGACAAGTAGGCGATGTCGGCGCCCTCTTTGTAAATAAAAAGAGGCGGTCGGAGGTCGAAGCAAAGTGAAGCTGCATCGGCTGGACGAAAGCCGGCAAAAACCGGTACCAAGCTCTGGCGCTTCGCTTGAGTCCGCACAAGGACTTTGCGGGGAGGCGAACATGGTCGGGAACGGCCGAGTCGATGAAGCCGGGTGGCTGCTGACAGTAGACCGTCTCAGTCAGGTGGCCGTGAAGAAAGGCGTTCTTCACGTCCAGCTGATGAATCGGCCAGGAGGAAGAAGCGGCGATGCTGAGGACGACGCGGATGGTGGCCGGTTTGACAACCGGGCTGAATGTCTCGTCGTAGTCGATGCCGTATTGCTGCGAAAAACCACGGACTACCCACCTGGCTTTATGACGAGCAAGAGAGCCATCAGCACGATACTTGTGCTTAAAGACCTACTTGCCTGTGATGACATTGGCACGCGGCGGTCGAGGTACGAGGCGCCAGGTGCCATTGGCCATGAGCGCCTTGTATTCTTCGGTCATCGCCGCCGCCAATTTGGGTCGGCCAGGGCGGCACGAGAGTTGGCGGGCAGCGGAGAAGCAAGGGGTGACGACGCCGCAGAGTAGCCGTAGCGCCTGATGGGCGGCGGCAAGGAGCCCGTCCGGGATCGAGTCTCCCGTGGTGGAGGGTCTGGTGCCCACGGCACCTCTGCCTGCGTCGTCTCTGGAGGAGGCGCGGCTGGCGGGATCGGTGCCGGACGACGAGTGTAGACGCGAAGAGGCCGCTGGCCGCCTCCAGGCTGTGGCGGCACGGCGGCGGTAGCTGGTGCAGCAGCGCCGGCACCTGCAGACGCGGAGGGTGCCGGGGCCGCGGGTGCAGGGGCGGCCTGCAGGGGCGCCTGAGGGCCGGCTGAAGGAGCCGGGCGCTGGCCGTGGGATAGCCGGTAGGCAGCGCCATGCCAAAGGATGGCGGGGTCCAGCCTGACGGGGTCGCCAGCATCTTCCAAGGGCGGCGTGTGCCCAACGTCCGAGGTGGACGGAGCAGGCGCGGGGAGTAAGTCCTGTAACAGAAAATCAAAAGAATCCGGGTGGGGCTTGGAGGCCGCAAACGGAAAGTGAGTCTCATCGAAAACGACGTGGCGTGAGATGATGATCTTGCGATTGGAGAGATCAAGACACCGGTAGCCCTTCTGAGAAGGAGGGTAACCGAGGAAGACACACGCCGCGGAACGAGGAGATAATTTATGGCGAGTCGTGGCACTAAGGTTTGGGTAGCACAGGCAGCCAAAAACCCGAAGGATGGAGTAGTCGAGCATCTTGTGATGGAGATGATATGGGATACCGTTATTTATGGACGAGGATGGCCGCCGGTTGAGCAGGAATACGGCGGTGGAGAGAGCTTCGACCCAATAGGAGGTAGGCATGGCGGCATGAATCAGAAGCGTTCGAACAGCATTGTTCAAAGTGCGAAGCATTCGCTCAGCTTTGCCATTCTGAGCGGATGTGTAGGGGCACGAGGTGCGGAGGAGGATGCTGCGGCTAGCCAGGAAGGTGGCGGTGGCAGTGTTGAGGAACTCGGTGCCATTATCTGCCTGAAAACAGCGCACAGGAAAACTGAACTGTGTGTGAGCGTAAGCAATAAACTGAACAATGTGTTCATGAACGTCGGATTTATGGCGAAGAGGAAATGTCCAACAATAATGTGTATAATCATCAACTATCACAAGATAAAATTTATAGCCAGAAATACTCGAAACTGGAGAGGTCCAGACATCACAATGAACAAGTTCGAAAGGTGCTGATGTACTAGAAACCGAACTAGCAAAAGGCAGCCTAGCATGTTTGCCGAGCTGGCAGGCATGACAGATGCGGCGAGCTGCTTTATTACACTGGATAGCTGATAGCTTATGTAGAGTGTTGACGACGGCGGGTGCTGGATGACCAAGGCGGGAGTGCCACAGCTCCGGGGAGACGACGGCGACGTGACAGCGAGAAGGCATGGGCATGTGATGTGGAATGGTGTAGAGATCCCCGTTGCTATTGCACCGAAGAAGGACCGTCTTGGTCTGGAGATCCTTAACAGAAAAACCAGAGGCGTCAAACTCAACTGAACAGTTATTGTCGCGAGTAAGCTGTCGAACAGATAACAGGTTACGAGTGAGTTGTGGAGCGACAAGAACATTATCAAGATGAAAAGAACGATCGGCTATTTGTATAAAAGATGTGCCACGACTAAGGACAGGAATAGATTGCCCGTTGCCGACCGTAATGGAAGACGGTGGTGACGGGAGACGGGAGAGAAGAATACCGTCGTTGGAGGACATGTGGGATGTCGCTCCGCTGTCCATGACCCAAGGGGTAGACCCCTGAACCGCCATCTGATTGAGGGCGGTAATCGAACGGTCGATCGATCCCCGCACGCCGAGGGCCGTCTGCACGCCGGGAACCGGCCGTGGTGGAGAACTGGGGGGGCGCGAAGGCAGTGTGCGCCTGTGGAGGAGGCGCGGGTGGTGCACCCCACTGCTGCTGCTGAGGAGGCCACTGGGCGGCCCAAGGGTTGTAGCAAACCCAAGGACCGGCCGGCTGAGGAGCCTGACGGCCGCCGAAAACGCCTTGTGACGCGCCATGCTGCTGGTTGCGCCCACCGCCGCCGCCGCTGCCATTGCCACCGCGCCCACCTTTGCCCTTGCCCCCCTTGCCTTTGCCACCGCCCCCACGGTTGGAGGTCGCAGAAGGGGTGGACGGGCAGGACGGCGACATGCAGGAGGAGGTGGTGGAGGCGACAAGGGCGGAGGCCGAAGCCTCCCGCGCCTTGATGCGAAAGACGAAGTTCCTTGACGCGGAGCATGTTCGTGGCGATCTTGAAGTCGGGAGCGGCGACGTGTTGGTGATGATGTCGGCGGTGGTGGTGGCGAAGCGGGGTGGATGCGCGAGGAGATTGAGCACGAAGCTGGGCGGGGAGATGGTGTGACCAACCTCCCGGAGGGCATCGGCGGTGTGCTTCATCTGCTGGGCGAAGGCGTCGACGGAGAGGTCGCCTACGGGACATGGTGTGGAACTCTGTCTGAGGACAACAGACGAGACTCCTTGTTTGCTCGAAAGCAGGCCTCGATGGAGCGTATAGAGGCGCAGCGTCTTGATCGGGCTCCTCCATGGCGAGATCGAGGACAGCGTCGTCGACGGAGCCGTACATCCAGCCACGGATGCAGGCGTCGGGCTGAGACCACGTGGGGTCAGCCGGGCGCGCGGCCTCCGTGCCATCAATGTGGCCGAGCAGCTCGTACTTGGCGCAGAGGGCGGTGAAGAACGCCTTCCACTTGGAGTAGTTGGGACGCTCGAGGCTGAGGGAGATCGGGACGTGCTGCTTCACGTTGACGGAGGCATAGGCGGCATAGAAGGGAGGAGCAAGAGCATCCCCCCCCCCATAGCGCCGGAGGAGTGGGAGCCAAGGA